TCGTAGCGACGCTCTATATCGATTATCTTTCGTAAAAAGAAGGCGATCGGGTGCTAGTAATAGTCCTTATCTGATTGCTATAATATAATAGCCGATACAGCGAACTGTAAAGCGTTAGTCTCAATACGGATCTACTTGCTTAGTACAAAATAGTGCAGTAAGGGGACATTAGTAAAGCGTTGCTTTAGGCCGTCAAAAGCGGCTTGTGCCCTATTAGTCTATTTAAACTCTCTAGTTAGGTTAGCCTTAGTTTTAGTAAGCTTAGTTAGGGGCATCACATGCCGTAAATAGCCCTTAATAAAGCGGCGGTAGAAATTAGCGAAGCCGAGGAACGATTGAAGTTCCTTAATAGACGTAGGAATAGGCCATTTAGTAATGGTTTTAATCCGATTAGGATTAGCCTTAACACCCTTAGTTGAAATAAGGAAGCTAAGGAATAACACCTCTTTAGCAGCGAAGGTGCATTTAGAAGGTTTGCAATACAGTCTATAGGCTTATAGGCGGTCGAGGACCTTACGCACTACGGCCTAGTGTTCTACAATATTAGGTAAATATATATAAACTAGGATGTTATCTAGGTAAACCACACAGAGATGGTCCAATAGGCCTAAAAGGGCTCGATTGATATAGGACTAGAATATTGTAGGGGCATTAGCTAGGCTAAATAGTATAACTAAGTACTCGAAATAGCTATAACGAGTACGAAAGGCTGTCTTCTATTCATCGCCCTTACGGATACGGATGCGGTAATAGGCGTCCTTAATGTCTAATATAGTGTAGTAGTAGGTACTAGAAAGGCGATCGAGGGTCTCATTAATAAGCGGAAGTAGACAGCGGTCTTTAATAGTAATAGCATTGAGTCTACGGTAATTAACGTATAACCGTAGGCTACTATCCTTCTTTAGAACAAACAGGATTAGTGTACTAGCAGGGCTGTTACTATACCGAATGCGACTATTAGCTAGGTTTTCCTCTAGGTACTTACGTAGTATAGCAAGCTCTCGCTTACTAAGGTTATAAAGGGGGCCAAAAGGAACCTCCTTGCCCTCTATAATGTTAATCTTATAGTCTGTCTCTTTGAATATAGGTAATGTCGATGCTAAGTAGTGTTTAAACACATTAATATAGGTCTCTCGAATAGGTTCTAGTATGCGCCTAAGTTGTTTAGGATCTATGCTATTAGGGGGCACTAGTTTATCGTTATTACTACCGAGCAGGTCGGTAGTCGGATTAGCTAAGGCGGAGGCTAGTGTTAGGTTGCTAATAAACAGGACCCTAATATTATTAGGACACTCGCTAACATCAATGTATTTAATGTCCTCTTTCCTAGCGATTCTAAATCGCTACTTCTAGAGGCCTAGGTCTATAGCTATAGCGTAGTACTTAAGAACAGGGTTGCTAATAACAATAGCGGCTCCTCTATATAGGTTGTCTATATCCACTACGTAGGCAGTGAAGTCTAGCAAGCGCTTATTTCCGAGGTCGTCCTTTAGAGCTATAGGAACATAGTAGGCCCTATAGGTTAAGTGCCGGGCGTTATTAAACTAAGCAAGGGTTAGCAGGTCAGTCTTCGGCAGTTGTCGAAGGTCTAATTGCTTAGCTAGGCGATAGCTAATAAGGGCACTAACTAAATTTCCTAGATCTAGTATAACCTTAGTTTAATAGGTAGTGCCCTTCGTATCCTATACAAGGCAGGAGCGTGTTATAGCTAGTACAATATCGATAGTCTTACGCCGTACAAGGCTAACAGTTAGTACGGCGCTTACTCTTTTTTCGAAGGTTAGCCTACAGGGGTAGCGTTAGCTGCTAAGAGGTGCTTTCGGTGTTTAGCGGAAGCACGATTAATTCGGGCCTAGTCCTTAGGTTTGTCGCATTAGCCTAGTAGATAGCTAGTACTATTACAATTGAAGCACTTCAATCCGGTCGGGAGATTGTTGCCGTAGCTATTGTTGCTACTATTGTTAGTCGAGCGGTTAGCATTATAGGGATACAAGCCCCTTCTACGGCCCCTATCGCGGCCTCCTCTATACGGCCGGCGGCTACGGCCTCTTCTACGATCGTTACTGTTCCTATTGTTAGCATTGTTATCCTAGTAGGAACCTTAGTTTCCTCCGCGGCTACGGTTGCTACGGTTAGTACTAGCCGGTCGGATCCTCGATTCTAGTCGTTATTAGAGCTAAATAGCCCGTTCGGCTGTTTCTACTTCGACTATAAATTAAATGCGTATTAGATTAGCTTGTTCGAACACACGGCGACGGTCTAATTCGAGGATAAGCTCCTATCTAAGTTTTAGGCGTATCTCGGAGATCTATATAGAATTAGTCTTAGGCGGAAGGTCGTCTTTAAGGGTTTTCAAATAGGCCTCGAATAAGCGGGCCGATTGATTAGTCTTTTGCTTAGCTCGAAGGTACTAATCCTAAGCATGTTGTTGCCTTAGTATAGGGTTTCTAAGGGTGTCTAGTATAATGGTTTTATAGGTCTGCTACTAAACAGCGGTCTAATCGTTAAGGGAGTCAAAATAGTTATCCTATATACGCTTTAGGTCGCTATTGATGTACTACATAGCGTGTACGACTAAGGAATAGTCGTCTAGCAGCGCTCTTAGTGCGTTGCGCTAGTTAAGTTTACAGTTACGAATGTAGTCGTTGTACTGCTTTCGACTAGAGCTATTAAACACGGTACAGTCCTTGAGTTTAGCATCCTTCTTTTAGATAGGTAGTAAAGAAGGTCCTACTATTAGCTTAGCAGTAGTTGTTAGAGATTCCTAGAGGCGGCGAATCTCGAGAAGATTATCCTTTAGCTATTGTTCTTAACGCAAGGCAGTAAGCCTGTTTTAGGTAGCTTCTTAAAGTCTCGCTACTAGTTAGGGACTAAAGGCTAGCTAGCTATATCGACGGTTAACAATATTATTAAGAATGTCGTCGACAGGCAATTCTAGGTCGTTACCTAGAATTGCGGGTTCTTCTTTAGCAGGTCCTGTAATAGGCTCTTCGGTAGGAGGCACTTTAGTAGGTGCTTTAGCGGGAACTGTGCTACTAGCGTTGTTATTGCTAGCGCTGCTAGCGGTAGCGCGGTTGTTGTTTCGTAATAAACCGGCTATTATAAGGGGCGACACTAATAGTGTATTATTAGCCCCTAAGATACGGATATAGCGGAATTAGTAGGTATCGGCTTAGTATGCTTAACTTAGTATAATAGGCCGTATAGAAGGCCTTGCTTAATAATTGGTACGGTTGTTTTAATAGAATAGCACGTGTAGGTCCCGTTATTCGGGCGTAATATAGTCAAATCGATAGTTTTCGTAGCCGTACCGCTAAAAGCTTGAAATAAGGACTATCTAGCTGCTACCCTTAAAGGGTGGATCGAATACTATATAAGAAGGGTATATTAGCAGGTAGATAGGGTAGTAGTAGGTACAAGTAGTATTCGATAAGGAGCTAGAAGGAGAGGGAGGAAGGCAGGCAAGTTGGCCTACTGCTAAGCGCCAAGCCCTGCCTAAGGTATCGAGACCCTAGCTTCACTCGAGCCCGGTTATATGCTAATTACGTGTAACCTCTTTAGTCCTAACAGAGGGCGCTCGATAGTATAGAAGATATTGCCTATTTAGTGCGCTATACCGCAATAAGGCACTTAAGCGAGGGTTAAATAAGTACCTACAATAATACGTACAAGAGACGATATCTACGTACGATATAGCGCTACGATATTAGAGACAACAGAACGCTCAGTCTATATCGTGTTCTACGGCGATATTATATTATAGTAGAGCCACGACATTGGACCGACAGAACAGGACCTTGGAAGGAGGGTGGTCGGTCACGAATAGCAGCTCAGTTACCAGTACGCGATGCTGTCGCAGTCGCACGCATGTCGGCTGGAGAATGCACGGCGGGAGTGGATCGGGAAGGAACGAAGGTGCTGCCGTCATGCTTCATGCAGGAACGCAGATTTGGCAGAGCGGCGCGCTAGACAGGCATATGCATGCAGGCTCTTTCGAGGTCCCACCGCACCTGCTTCATCATCATCTCTTCATCTATTCTAGATTGACGGCGAGCGTAGAGCCGAAGAATGTGCGCGGGCAAGGAGGGCGGCGCGGTGGGCACGCTGGGCTGGCCAGACTGGATCCCTGTGTGTGCTCCCAGGCGTAGGCAAGAATGTGTACAGATTCCACTGGCACAGCAGTCGGCGCCGGTGACGGTGACGGTGTCGGTGTCGGTGTCGGCGTCGGCCGGTGTGTGCAGCGAGGCCAACGACCCACAATGTAGCATTCACGATCGCGCTTGCAGGCCTCTGTGCTGCAGCCGGGAAGGGGAGGGAAATCTCTTGAAACGCGAGGTATGTCGCCTTTCCTGTTTACATGTAACCGCTGGGCGTCTGCAAGCGAGCGATATGGGGCGGGGCTAGCGTGGCGATGTGGCGATGAGATGCTGCCAACGAACAACGTGGTGCTTGAGCTTTTCCATGACCCTCCTGCCGCCCGGCCTGTTTTCACTTGATACGCGCCCAGCAAGACGACCAGGCCATACTCAACCGGATCGCACTCGGCGGAGGCCAGTGCCACTATCGACTCATGCCGCCTTGCTTGGCCGTCGCCTTGGCCCTCATCAGTCCCGACCCGACGCCTCGTACTGCGGCTCCATTCTCGATTGACCTGTCACTCTCCACACCACACGCTCGTTGACCGTTGACCTCATCCATCCCTACTCGCCCTGCTCCCTGTCATTCGCTTTCTCGCCTCGACCCTTCGCCCACCGGCAGTCGCTGTGCCCCATCTCTCCTGGACACACACACACTTCTACAACCCGCTCTGCCTGTCCCTCTGCTGTCAGCGAGAGACAGCAACCAATACAGCATCACTCACGCTTCAAAAGCACACTGACATCGAGCTTCAGCGTCTCACCAACACCCTGACAACCTCCCCCATGAGGATTGAATAACGCCACTTCACGCGCAAGCTGCCATTGCGGCAACCCCCATCGCTTTACTGAACCTCCTTCAACATGTGGAAGACATGTCTTGCGAATCTTGCCTCACTACTCGCCCTGGCCTCGGCTTCATACTACGACGAAGCTGAGGCGGAGTGGAACTTGAACGTCAACAAAAATGCCGCCAATCCTCTCGAGTACAGTGTTCCCGACTGGCCTTCAGGCTTTGAGCACCATTCAAGTCCCGACAATTGGAGATTCCCGTTTTACAGCTTCTTCCTAGACAGGTTCGTGAATGGCGACCCAACGAACGACAACGCCAATGGCACCAACTGGGAACAAGACTACAGGCAGACACAGCTGCGCCATGGAGGAGATATCGTTGGAGTCCAGCAGTCTCTCGACTACCTCCATGGCCTGGGCATTAGAGGACTCTATCTTGTCGGTAGCCCCATGATCAACTTGCCTTGGGAGGCCGATGGCTACAGTCCCACCGACCTCACCATTCTGGACCATCACTTGGGTACGATCGAAGATTGGCGCACCGTGATCCACGCGATTCACGATAGAGGCATGTACGTCATTCTCGACAACACTATGGCTACAATGTCGAATCTTCTCGGCTTCGAAGGCTATCTCAATACCAGTGCCGACTGGTCTTTCACCGAGCACAAGACCCAATATACCTCGGACAATGTCTACCGCGACTTCTACATCGGCAATGAATATCACGACGTCTGTCCTTACCCTTTCCCACGCTTCTGGGACCAAGGCGGCCACCAGATCATCGACAACAATACCAATGCCATGGTTGGCTGCATGGACAGCGAATTTGACCAGTTTGGCGATGTTGGTGCATTTGGCGTCTACCCAGAGTGGCAGAAACAGCTTTCCAAATTCAACGGCGTCCAAGATCGCCTGCGAGAATGGAGGCCCCAGGTCTTGGACAAGATCAACCATTTTTCCTGCATGATGATCAAAGGCTTGGATATCGATGGCTTCCGTATCGACAAGGCCATGCAAGTCACAGTCGACGCGCAAGGCAATTGGTCTCACTTCCAGCGGGAGTGTGCATCATCCGTCGGCAAGACCAACTTCTTTATTCCTGGAGAAATTGTGAACGGTAATGCTGATGCATCGATCTACCTGGGGAGGGGCAAGGAACCGACCATGCAGGTCTCCAATACTACCAAAGCAATGACCTCCAACGACACGCAATACATCCGCGAAAATGGCCACCAAGCTCTCGACTCCGGCGCCTTCCATTACTCGACATACCGAGCACTCATGCGATTTTTGGGCCTCGACGGCAACCTGCTCGCAGCGAATGACGCGCCGGTCAATTTTGCAAATCAATGGCAGACTTTCGTTCAGACCAACGACCTCAATAACGCTTATACGGGTCAGTTCGATCCCCGACACATGTACGGAGTCTCCAATCACGACGTGCTCAGGTGGCCTGGCTTGATCAATGGTACGGAGAGGCAGCTTCTCGGCGATTTTGTGATATCTCTGCTCATGCCAGGTATTCCTATGGTCAGCTGGGGAGAAGAACAAGCGTTTTACTTGCTGGACAACACCGCTAGCAACTATATCTTCGGACGTCAACCAATGTCGTCCGCACAAGCATGGCAACTGCACGGCTGCTACAAAGTCGGGAATACGAATCTCAATCAGTGGCCTGTCAACAGCAGTCTGACTGGATGCCAAGACGACTCCGTGAGCCTCGACCACAGAGACTCCACACATCCGGTCTACACGGTCTTGAAGCAGATGTTCGAGATGCGGGACAAGTACCCCGTGCTGACTGATGGATTCGAGGTTCGGCAGCTCTCCAACCAGACTTTCAATTACACCCTTCCCGGCTCATTCGGAACTCCGACAGAGACGGGTCTCTGGAGTGTGTTAAGAGGACGAGTTGAGGCCATCCAAGACCTCCGCGGAGAAGGCGTCTTTGGTAACCAAGCAGTCTGGTTATTGTACTCCAATTACAATGGGTCCAGAGTCTACGAGTCCGACTGCAGCGGCGACGATGCTATAATCTCTCCTTTTGATGCCAATACCACCGTCAAAAACCTCTTCTATCCCTTCGACGAGTGGACACTGGACGAATCTGCGCTCACGCTCAATATTGAAGGGTCGACCAATCCGAACGGCTGCCTCTCACAAATGAACATGACCAAGTATGGATTCAAGGCGTTCGTGCCTATTGCAAACTGGAGCGCACCGTCACCAGTCATCACTGGCTTTTCTCCTGGCCACGATGCCCGCATTCTTTCCAACTCTTCAGATGGTGAGCCTTCGTCCGTCGACGTCGAGCTACGCTTCTCTACCGAGATGAGCTGCGCTTCTCTTGCACGGGCTCTGAGCATCAATTCAACCACAGGAGAAGGGCAGACAGGCAATATCGATACCAACAACATTGACTGCGCTCAGATGGAGCCCGAATTTGAAGCTTACTATTATGGACCAAGCCCATCAACATGGCGGGCTCGATTCGCGCTAACCAATCTCTACGATGGTATTCACAGAATCAGTGTCAACAACGTGTCGAGTGAGAGCGGAGATGTATTCACCAACTCTGTTGATCATTTCATGATTCGGATTGGCAAGGAGGACAACCCTATGGTCTTTCCGACCACTACGAATTACAGCACCTCACTTCTATACAAGGATGACACGTCCTCTAAGCGAGATGTCTCGATCACCACCTCTGGACTCAAGGTCAACCACAAAGCTCCAGGAGCCGACAAATGGCGATACTCCTTGTCATTCGGTGCAGTGTGGTCAGAGTGGTACGACTATACCCCTGGAAATGCATCGCTGGCGTCGCAGACTTGGAGAGGCGACAAGCAAGAGCAGAAGTGGACCGGCGATCATGTTCAGGTGCAATACTGGTCTCGGTTGGCGGGGAGCAGTGCCCATGTTGTTGAAGGCGATCTCGCTGGATCTGATACTGTTCCACGTCGTTTTCCCCATCTGTTCCTGCACGGTTCTTTCAATCAGTATGGTTTTGACGATGGGCTTTCAAACACCATGTTCCAACTTGACAATGGCACCTGGGCATTCGACTTTATGACCGAATGGCCAAGTCAATTTCAAGTGAACGTCTGGGGCATGGCCTCCAACGGCGAACCTGATGTGTCGTTTGCGTTCGGCGACGTTGATAACGACACCGTCCTCGACCGTATCTCTCCAGTGTCATTGCAGAAAGCTGTGGTCAATATCACCAATCTTGGACCGCCCGCTCCTTCCCTTGCTTGGCGCATTCTATTCAACGATGCCGACTTGAGATATTACCTGGTTCCTGTGGGCAATCGGTACACTCAACTTGCTCTCTGGCTCCTACTGGGACTCATTCCTGTCGCCACAGCTGCCGTTGGAGTTTGGGCGTACATGCACTTCTTCTACGGAGTCAAGTTCAACCAAATCGGACTCTCGGAGAAAAGAAGCATTCTTCCTATTGCTGCTGTTGGCAAGATATTCAATCGCGAGAAGATGAATGAGAAGGATAACGATGCCGACACTGCGACACCATCAACAACAGGCTCCTCTCCAGATCTTCCCCAAACGGGCGTCATTCGCAGCTCTACCTTCGGCGCCGGAGCAACCATTGATAGCAAGCGTCGTACAGTGCTTATTGCTACCATGGAATACGACATCTCTGATTGGAACCTGAAGATCAAGATTGGCGGTCTCGGCGTCATGGCACAATTGATGGGCAAAAATCTCGAGCATCAGGATCTCATCTGGGTGGTCCCATGTGCTGGCGGTCTCGATTATCCGGTCGACACTCCTGGCCTTCCTATTGACGTGACCATTCTAGGCCGCACGTACGAGGTACAAGTACAGTACCACAAGTTGAACAACATCACCTACATGCTTCTTGACGCTCCTGTCTTCCGAAGACAGAACGCAAAAGAGCCATACCCAGCTCGCATGGACGACTTGGACAGCGCCATCTACTACTCCGCCTGGAATCAGTGTATCGCCGAGGCTATGCGTCGTTTCCCAATCGATCTTTACCACATTAACGACTACCATGGCACTGTCGCGCCTCTTTACTTGCTTCCGGACACCATCCCCTGCGCATTGTCGCTACACAATGCTGAATTCCAGGGATTGTGGCCCATGAGAAATCCACGCGAGGTTGAGGAAATATGCTCGGTATTCAACTTGCCACAGACTGTTGTGCAAAGATATGTGCAGTTCGGAGAAGTCTTCAACCTGCTCCATGCCGGTGCAAGTATTCTCCGTATTCATCAAAAGGGCTTTGGCGCTGTTGGAGTCAGCAAAAAGTATGGCAAGCGGTCTTGGGCTCGATACCCAATCTTCTGGGGCTTGAAGAAGATTGGTGCTTTGCCCAATCCAGATCCCTCTGATGTTGCTGAGTGGGACAAGAGATTGACAGCTCCAGAGGAAGTCCAAATTGACCAAGCTTTCGAAAGTAGACGTGCCGGTCTGAAACGTCAGGCCCAGGAGTGGGCGGGTCTGGATCAACGGGCTGACGCGGACCTGTTCGTCTTCGTGGGTCGATGGTCGATGCAGAAAGGTATCGATCTGATCGCTGATGTCTTTCCTGCCATTTTGGAGCAATACGAACATGTGCAGCTCTTGTGCGTTGGTCCGACCATCGACCTCTATGGCAAGTTTGCAGCGCTGAAGTTGAACAAGATGATGCAGAAATATCCAGGTCGCGTCTACTCGAAGCCGGAGTTCACCGCCCTCCCACCATTCATATTTAGCGGTGCTGAATTTGCGCTCATTCCTAGCAGAGACGAGCCTTTCGGTCTGGTCGCTGTCGAGTTCGGAAGGAAAGGAGCGCTCGGCGTTGGTTCACGTGTTGGCGGTCTCGGTCAAATGCCTGGCTGGTGGTATACGATCGAGTCGTCTACGACCAAGCATCAAATGCACCAGTTTAAACTGGCGATTGCCGGTGCACTCAAGTCGGATTACGAGACTCGCGCCACAATGAGGGCGCGTTCGGCCAAGCAGCGTTTCCCGGTCGCACAGTGGAAAGAGGACCTTGAGATTCTCCAGTCGACCTGTATCAAGATACACAAAAAGCGCATGGAGCACATCACGGCGAGACGTATGGGTCTTGAGGATAAGAGTGGTACGTCGAGTGGCTGGAACACTCCTGGATGGATGACTCCGCGAAGTGGGTGGGCTACCCCTACTGGCAGTCGGCCAAATACTCGTCCGTCCTCGCCAAATCGGTCGGGAACGTCCACACCGACGGGCTCAAGAGGACCATCGCTATCTTTGGGCATGCGACTCGGCCCAGGGCACATTCCTGGAACACCATCAACGCCATCTGAGAGGTCAGGTCAATCCCAGAGCTTGAACAACTCCCGACGCAACTCATTCGACGACCAATATCCACGCCGACGACTGAGCGGCATTCAAGACGAAGAGTACATCACTCCCGAGGCTGCTGAAGAGTCCAAACGCCGCTCGCAGCTTGGAACCATGACGAATGAATTCAACTTTGCTCTCCGTGATGGCACCATTCACAGCAATCCTAGCCCGCCTGACGCCACATATTTCCCACCGGTGACCCCCAGCGGACTGGATACTCCCAGTCGCCAGTCGTTCCCATTCCTTGCACGTCCTCACACTCCGGTCAGGGACGATTTGTCGAGCGTACCCCAAACTCCATTGTCCACGGAGAAGGTAATGGATGAGAAGAAGAAGGACCAACCCCAAGAGCTCACGCCATTCTTCACAGACCCGACTGGGCTGTATTACAAGACGTTCGAGAAGAAGCTCGACACCCTCAATGGCAAGAACTCCGAGGGAGCGCTTTGCATCGAGGAGTATCTTGAGAAGTCCGAAAAGCAGTGGTTCCATCGACTGCACGAGGCAAAGATGAGTCGGAACAACACTCCGAGTGCATCTCGGGTTGCAACGCCTGCCGGATCCATTTATGAGGGCGTTGAAACAGATGAGTCTCTTGCGCAATTCTTGCTTCCCGAGAACTACCAAGCACCGACTGGTCTCCGACGTCTGCTGGTGTACAAGCTGGGCGACTGGCCAGTGTATACTCTATTGCTTGCTCTCGGCCAGATTCTCGCTGCCAACTCATATCAGATCACGCTTATAAGCGGACAGGTCGGACAGACTGCTGGTCAACTCTATGCGATCGCCTGCATCTACCTCGGAACGACGCTGATCTGGTGGTACCTCTTCCGACGTCTTGCAGCTTATTGGGTCATGAGCCTGCCGTGGGTGTTCTATGGGCTCGCATTTTGGTTTCTGGCCTTTGCGCCATATGCCTCGTCAAGCCTCTCGCGTGGATGGGTGCAGAATGTCGCCACAGGATTCTATGCCGCAGCCTCATCGTCAGGTTCGCTCTTTTTCGCTCAGAATTTTGGTTCGCTAGGCTCAGCACCAGTGAAGGACTGGGCGTTCAGGGCATGTGCAATCCAAGGAACGCAGCAGCTGTATGTGGTCGGTCTTTGGGCTTGGGGTAACAAGCTCACCAGCCTGAACTCCATGGGCAACTCTACCTCCCTTGGCTGGAAGATGACAGCGATCGGTGTACCGATTGCGCTCTTCCTCTGGGCCGTTGGTCTGGTTCTTTTCTTCGGCCTGCCTGATTTCTACCGCCAGAAGCCCGGCGCTGTACCTGACTTCTACTCATCGATATTCCGCAGGAAGATTATCGTCTGGTTCCTGGTCGCTGTGTTCGTCCAGAACATCTTCCTTTCAGCTCCGTTCGGTCGCAACTGGTCCTATCTTTGGAGTTCAAAACACGCTCCGGGATGGTCGATTGTCCTCCTGATCCTCCTTTTCTTCGTGGTAGTCTGGGCCGGCGTGCTATTCTTCTTTGGCCACCTCTCCACAACACACAGCTGGTTTATCCCGATCTTCGCTATTGGCCTCGGAGCACCCAGATGGTGTCAGATTCTGTGGTCATGCTCGAATATTGGCCAATATCTCCCGTGGGCTGGCGGACCTGTCGCTTCTGCAATATTAGGCAGGGTGCTCTGGTGCTGGCTCGGCGTTCTGGATTCCATTCAAGGTAAGACTAAAATTTTCATCCAAAGAGAAACAAGCGCTGACGTTGATACAGGGATTGGGTTCGGCATGATCCTTCTTCAGACAATGGTCCGCTTTCACTGCTCGTTTGTCTTGATGGCAGGCCAATGCATTGGTGCCATCGCGACCATCATTGCAAGAGCAGACGGCCTCAACAGTACAGGGCCTGGACCCACGTTTCCTAACTTCGCAGGCGGCTGGTCCGACGGCCTCTCACAACCTTGGTTCTGGATATGTTTGCTTTTCCAACTCGGCATTTGCGTTGGCTTCTTCACATTTTTCCGCAAGGAGCAACTGACGAAGCCATGATCCGATGCGACACGATCAAAATACCCGATCGACTCGTGCTCGCTGTACAGGTTGGCGGGAAAGCAATGTGGTAGCAGGGGATGGTTTTCAACGATCTTGATGATGTTATGGCGTTCTGACATGTGTGTGCGCGAGGATTTGTGGAAAGCATTGCAAGCGTAGTAGCGTCGTTGTTCGTTCCTGAGATGATGAGTGAAGCAGTGGCAGAGGCAGACAAAGCCAGAGACAGAGCAGTGCAGCGTTCTGCGAATACCCATTCCAGCGAGTAAAGAGACTACATAGACTTAGTAGAGATGAGAGACTCGAAGTGCTCGGCTCTCAAATGCATCTGTTTCCATCAGCCATATGATATTGTACGACGACCCGCACGTGACACGATGGAGCGTGCGATCTGACGAAGCTTAAGGCCTTGAATACCTCGCGTTGAATTATCGATAAGTGTTGAATTATCGATAAGACAGCAAATCTCGTGTCCTCGTCTTATTATAGCGTGTCTTATGCTAATTATAAGTATTTAAGCCTAATTATCGATTTCCGCCTTCTTAGTACTATACTATAACCTTATCTCTTACTATTACTTGCTATTATTGTCCCTCTTACTATAGATAATATCGTATTCTTATAGCGCCGAAGCAGGCGAAGGTAGCCTCGAAGGCCTCGAAGGCATCAAAATCGACGAAGAAGATAGCGGCTACGGCGGAAGATACGAATAAGGCAAAGAGCGAGGTTAAGAAGCGCTAGCGATAGGCGCCTTACAACTAGACGGAAGAATAGGTAGAGTATATGCTAAGGGCACTTATTAAGCGTATAGCGAAGCAGAATAATAACTAGGGCTTTCTAGAGTCTAACTTATCGGACGTCGCGAAGGAGTTAAATACTTATTATAAGGTAACAATTACCTCGAAGTAGGTACGTAACAAGTTTAACGCTTTCCGACCGCTATAGAAGAGATAGAAGGGGCATCTTAGAAGGACTAGTAGATAGTAAGGTTAGCCGCCTCGCTCGGAGCTAGACGTAGAAGACGCCTACTTCGAGGTATATCTAGATTGCCTATCGTTTAGAGAGAATTTGCCGGACTTCTATAACTAGTTAGAGGTGCTATTTAGTAATTAATTAGCGACTAGTGAAGGCGCGTTAGAAGCGGCTAACTTAGCGATACTAACGGTAGAAGAAGAGGCGGAAGGCGAGGTTGTCGCGAATAAAGAGGAATAGCTAGAATTAGATAAAGAAGAAGGCGCTTCTATTATACCGAGTATACTACTTAGTCGCTCGACAAGCACTAATAGTAGTATTAGTAGAGGTAGGAAGAGAGACACGCTATTGCTATAGAAACAGGCTATAGCGGCTTTCTCGAAGAAAACGAAGAAGAATAAGAATACAGAGTCCGAGCTATCCGAGACTCGAGTCTACTCTCGCGATAATATTAGTATCGCGATTAATAACCTCGAGAAGCTACTCTAGCGAGTAATAGCTTCTATTAGCGCTAACCGACAGTTTACGGCGGCTCTAAAGGACACTATTATAATAGCCGCTACTTGTAAGGCTATAAACTGCGAGGGCATTTAGAAGCTTCTATTTAGCGCTCGTATAGCGCTTATAGATATCCTCGAGAATAAAGGTATATTAGGAAGGATGCTTAGTTGTCCTAATAAGGACCTTAAGCTAATGCTAAAGTATCTATTAAAGAAGAGAAGCAAGGTAGACGAGAGCGAGTTAGAGCCGGTTGCTAAACCTCCCGCGGTCGAAGTACCGCCTTAGACTGCCCCTAAGCAGGTTAATAATTAAGCGCACCAAATACTAAGTTAAATAGCGCCTTAGAACATACCGTTTAATTACCCTAGTTAGTAGTTATATTAAGCAAATAGGGGGCAGCTATTGCCGTCGCTCTAAGAGATAGAGTCTAGTATTTAATATAGATATTAGTAGTCGTAAATTAGGCGTAGGTAATGCGCATTTGCTAGAATGTCGTAGCTTTGTCTATACTATAAATTTGTATAGAGGTGTTATTAGTTTTTGCGTAAATATATTAGTATAGACTTAGGAGCTACCGTTACGGTCATTTTTAGAGATATTGTCGCCCTAGAAACAGCTCGAAGTATACGTATATATAAAGCTAAGCTCGAGGCTTAGCTAAACCTTCGGAATTGAGCCCTACTATAATATTCCTTAATAATGCATTAACCAATTTTCCTCGTTATTTTTTTATATAATGCGCCTGCTAGTAAACTTTTAGAACAATATATTACGAGAGAAAAATAGTGGTATTGTTATAGGGATAATTGCGATATAGCAATAGGTATCCGATTTTAACGCTAAGCGCGGAGGTACCCGCTTTTAGATACTAAACGACTTCTATAGGCGCCGACGATAATAACAGTGCGTACGAGATCTATTTAAAGTTCTAGAAGATAGTAGAAACAGCGCTATAAGGTAAGGAAAACCGCTAAGACTAGAATATACCGAACTACGCGGCGATTTCGACCGCCGCTCTACTATTACTATCCCCTAATTATTACTTTCTACCTTCAATCGTTATCGTATAGAGTATTAGTTGCCTGTCTTAGCTAATACTCTCGCTACGCTACTATCGATATCTTATCCCTATAAACTGCTATTTTACTCCTTAACGCTATCGATTAACGGTTAATCTTAGCGACCTCGTCTTCGATAATATTATCCTTATTAAAGCTAGTATCTCTATCCGGCGGCTCCTATTGAAACACCTCTATTTCGGCCTAACGGTAAGCGATTATAAAGTTGTTTAAGGCGCAAATAGCGACGACAAATCGCGCCTATTAAGTCGCCGAATAGCCCTTGTTTAGTCTATAGCTAAATAACTACTACTGCTTCTTTAGTATACTAAATCGCCGCTCGATATAGTTACGAAGCTACGAATAGCGTAGATTGAATAGCTCTTCCTTCCGCTTAGGCTTTAACTCGGAGGTATGCTATTCTCGAAGGTAGTATCGCGTCCTTTAGTAAGGAACTAATATATACTTAAGGTTCTTCGAGTAGCTACCGTCGGCGAGGTAGAACCTGCCTTTAGGTATCCTCAACCCTCTTCTAACCGCCGTTTGCAGTATAGTACTATCCGCCGCCGAGCCCTCCTATCTAGGCAATATATATATTACTAGTATATAGCCGTTAAAATCGCAGTAAGTAAGTATATTCTGCGAAACACTACCTTTACGATTGCGGTATACGCCTAGATTAGCTACCCTTACGGCCTTAAATAGTACGTAAGTGCTATTAAGGGCACCTATACAACCTAAGAAGTATAGCTAGAATTTAGGGTTGTCCGATATCTTACTCGGTATGCCTTCGCTTCTATTAGGTTGCCGCGACTTATCTCGAAATAACGTATATAACAACCGACTGATTTTAAGAATAGCTCTTCGATAGCTTAATAACGAGTGCTAATATATCCGCCGCAATTAACTATAAGTTACACCGTACGCCGCTATATTAAGGAATATAACTACCTATTTAGCCGGACTAATTCGCGGACCGCCGGTAAGGTCGTATTCTTCTATAAGGGTGCTTACTAACGCCTTAAGAACAGGCTGTCGAAGCCTCGTCGCATTATAGTAGTATTCCGGCGGTCTAATTAGTATAATCTGCGTCTACTACGAGCCTAACTCTAGCGCTACGAGAGTCGATATTATACCCTTCGGTCGATAGCGTAGTCGCTCCGTCTCGTCTAGCAACAAACGAAGCATCTAAAGCACTATATAGACCGACAGGTATAGTACGAGGTCCTCGAGATCCGCCTCTACCTTCTCGAAATCGTCTATTCTAGCTATATACTCTATAAAACACCTACTTCTACGACAACTACGAGAAAGAGCGAGACATACTATACTAGACCGGATAGAGATATATCCGTACGAGAATAGGCGCCTGCTCTTTAGCAGTTCAATTATAAAAGCAAGCCTATCTTACTAAAGGGCTACTTTTAGAATTAGCCTATCTAAAGAGGTAGATTATAGATAATTAGACTGTCTTATAGACAAGATCTACAATTGAATAGATTATAGGTATTTAACGCGTCTTATAGTGGACCCACTCGTCTTATGGATAAGACACCTCAATTATGGATAATTGAGCGCGAGGTATTCAAGGCCTAAACTCAATCGCCACTTCCAAACTTTAATTTTCCCACCTTTCCCAAACAGCCAAACAGCCATTGAATATACACCAACATCGAAATGGAAGTGCCAACCAGCACAAATCACGGCGAGAAACCAACCTTCACAGTCCTCGTCACCGGCGCAAATAGGTAGACTTGTCTCTCCAACACTTCAGCACGTATCTAACTTCGTTCCCAGCGGTCTCGGCTTCGCCCTTTGCTGTCGCCTCATCGACGAATTCCTCTTCACAAGACCCCCCTCCCAGTCCCTCCACCTCCTCTTCTCAACCCGAGACTCCAAAAAAAGTTCTTCAACCCTCTCCCGCCTGACCGCACACCTCCAAAAAACTCTACAACAACAGGAAGCCCACGCCCAAAGAATCCCAGGAATCCCTCCTCATCTCCTAGAATCTAGAATCAAACTCGAAGGCGTCCTCGTAGATCTCCTCAACCTTTCCACCGTGAAATCTCTCGCCGAAAACTTACTTCACAAAAACGAAACTCTCGATGCCGTGGTGTGGAACGCTGGAATTGCAGGTTGGAAAGGTTTGAATTGGGGGAAAGCGGTATGGAATGTTTGTACGGATTTGGTCCATGCGACGACGTGGCCGAAGTATATGGTTTGTGATGTGGGGTTGAGAGCGAACGCACAGGTTCTTCCTTCATCGGAGCAGCAGGAACAAGAGACTGGTGAAGGAGAGGAGGAAGAATCTGTGCTGGGTCAAGTCTTCCTCGCTAATGTTTTCGGCCATTACATGCTCACGCACTGGCTGCGTCCACTTTTCCACATCGACACGCGGATCGTTTGGATGGGTAGCATCAGTGCTTCCGCACACACCTTTTCTCTCTCCGACTTACAAGGTCTGCGAGCGGAAATGTCCTACGAGTCTTCGAAACGCGTCACGGATTTTCTGGTGTTGACGTCGGAATTGGATTCGACCAAACCATACACCAGCACCTTTTTGCCTTCGTCGACTACGAACCCCGGCCCGGGCCCGAAAATGTTCGTGGTCCATCCGGGAGTTTGTGGGACGGCGATTGCCGGGTTGAATTGGTTTGTGGGATTGTTTATGCTTGCGGCGTTTTATCTTGCTCGGTGGCTCGGGTCGCCGTGGCATCCGGTGGAACCGTATAAAGGAGCGGTGAGCGCTGCGTTTACGGTGCTTTCGACGCAGATTCCGGAGATGGAGGAGGGGGAGGGGAAGGGGAAATGGGGGGCTTCGACGGGGGTGTTTGGGGATGAACGGGTGGCGAGGACGGAGGTGGATGGGTGGGGGTTTTGTGGGGAGGTGGGAAAAGTTCCCAAAGGGAGCGTGACGAGTGGGTTGTATCGAGGGAGGAAGGAGCTTACGAAAGAGGACCGCGAGGAGTTTGAGGAGGTTGGGAGACAGGTGTGGAGGCAGATGGAGGATTTGAGGATTGAATGGGAGCGGAGGCTGGGGCCAGTATTATCACAGGACAGCTCGGTGGTAGATGTTTGAATCATTTGGTCTGTAAGATTAATGTAGTCTATGTACAATTATGCATTCAATCATCATCTTCAAATCGTATGATGCTCGGGACTTTTTGTATGGTGACAATATTCCCATCCCAGCAAGCAGTGACATCGGCTATGTACTTTCTGCCAGGTGACTTCGCCGCAATTGCAAAAATCGAACTCCTCCTCGCCATTGCAGACGATCGAGCCATTCGTCGAGCAAGATGCCCAGCCGAAAGGAGCGGATCCAACGTAGTAAAGTCTCAGTACGAGTCCTCCCCGACGCCCCGAAGCCTTGCAGCGCCGGCGACAGACCTTATGAGGACTTGCTAGCAAGGGGCACACCATTGGTGATGGTACCATACGGCACGGCGGCGTATTCGCCATTACAGCTGTAATCATACTCCGCCTCTTGAAGCTTCGTCGACTGCACCTCGAAGAAAGTCGTAAGCTCGCACCAGCCATCATCTCGGTCGCCGCATTGGTGGAAGCTCTTGCCAAGAGGGATTGTTCGCTGGTTCAGAATGAAGTGGATGTATCTCGTCGCGCCACCCTTTTCATACTTGTTGCCGTGCTTGCGGTTGCCGCTAAGTGGTTGTGGAGTCTCGATAATCTCCATGTCCAATCGGGCAGCAAAAGGCTCCATGTGAGATACAATCAGGGATCGATTTCTTTGCAGCTTGTCGGCGGGCAGGAGAGGGGCGAATTGGGTAAGGCCGAAAGCAGTGAGGATACCGGCAATGTTTGTGTCGTGGCTGAAGTCGAAGTTCAAGGTTTGGTTGAGAGGGAAGGTCGCGGTGTTGTTGTCGAGTGTGACGTTGATCTGAGCAGTGGGCTGTGTAATGAGGTGATGCTGCAGTCGAGCTAGGATCTCGACGACATATCCGATTCCAACAGCTCGACCAGTGGGACTTTGGAACATGTTGTTGCCAGCAAAGTTGATGTCGACCGAGTACTCGTAACCCTCCCACTCTTCATACGTGAACAGGCCACAGAATGCAGAGTAGCCGAGAGCAACGGTTTCGTAGGCACAAAGCGATTGAGCGTTGTAGGTGTCTGTAACGGACCAGTTGAATTCAGGTCCGTACGAGTTCAGTCGTGCTGTAGCATTTTTCAAGTAGATGGCGGCCCACTCCTTTGTGGCGTTGTTGCCGCCCTGGTTGACATATGTGTTGGAGTTGTTGCAGTTTTGGTATCCTGCAAGAGTGTTGTTGAAGATACCGGTAGAGTTCTCCCGTGCTAGAACGAGGGTTGCGTTCTGAGTCCAGTCAAGTCCGAAGAAACCGGCAAGGAAGTACTCGGCACTCTTCAGCATGCGGTCCTGAGTAGTCGATCGAGCAACGATCTTGGAGCCGTTGTTGGGGTAGAGGTGACCATACATAATCTGGTGGAGAGTTCCAGAGTCGAACAGTTCTTGCTTTCCAACAGGCGTCAGGATTTCCGCGCCCAGCTTGTTCGTGTAGGAGTTCAAGAAGGCCAGGGGTCCCGTGAAATTGACGTTGCCAAGTACACCAGTAGTATAGTTGAGGATCTTGGTGACAAGGACCGTCGCTCCAGCACCTGTGGTCGGGTATCGAGCGCCATGTCGAGACAACATGTTCAGCTGCACAATCGATGCATTCTTGGGCAAAGAGTACTCGTCTACGCCGAAACCAAGCGGGTTAGGGAAGTAATGGCTGAGCTGCCCATGCATCTGGAAGATGTTGCCATTGTCCGTGTTTCCCATGATAGGCACCTGCGTCTCGAGAGGAGAGTTCGGGATGTATGGCTGAGGATTAGATCAGGACCTCTCTTCTCTGGGATCTTGTTCCACTGCTTACCACGCCTGCAAATGGAGCCGGATTGGTCATGGCGAGGAAAGCAGCAGCGCCAGTCGGAGTCGGACCTAAACAAGCATCAACATTGTTGCCTCAGATACGCCACATCAATGCCATGTGTATACCAGGAAGCAGCTCCGGCTCGGTAACGTAGTAATCCGGAACATCGCTGCTGGTCGAGCTGGGCGACTGAGCATTCGCTGGCCGCCCAACGACTGCCGCCGCCGCGGCGTACAAATAGCTCTTGTACATCATAATGAACTGTATGGCGACAAGCACAAACAGTGAGACCTGCACGAAGAACAAGATGCGGGAGCGGAGGCTCTCAAATTTCCCAGGAGTGCGCGACCATGCTGGAAAGTTTAACGGCATGGGGTTCCCGTTGGCTTTGATTGTGACGGGATCTTGGTCTCCGTCATCACGACCACGTTGCATGGAAGCGAAGAGAGAAGGTGGTGCAGCCAAGCCGAGCAGGCAGTTGAAGGTGATGCGACTCTGCGATGTCCGAAGAGCTTGAAGCTTGTTCGTAACGTTGCAGCGGTCGTTGGTGGGGTGATGGCAGACGTCCAACGTCGGGAGTCGGGACATCAAGGTGCAGGAAAGAGGCGTTGTAGCTTTGCCTTGGCTTTTGCGATGCGATGCGAAGCTTTGCACCAAGACTGTCGGATATCTGTCCAAGATCGGTCAAGCCTTTCCGAAAGGATACATCTTTGCGCTTCTGCACGGCGTCAATTTGACGGTGAAAACAGACGACGAGGTCATCAGAATACAAGAGAAAACTGCCGCGTTGCGTTCTGGAGCTAGCTATGCAAAGAGACTGCCATTCTTTCCCGGGTAACCCGTCGTGGTCCATGTCTTCGACACAGATACACAATGCGCTCGCTAAGATTACAATCGTGTCTAGTATACAGTAGCACTGGTCATTGAAGCCTTCGTAAATTCGTCAACCCGTGTCGCTCTCCCAGCAGAATCACGGGCCTCTTGTAAAATCGTTAGCGATGTCGCTTGCCAGAACATAGCGAAAGGAAATCCCGAAATGAAAACACAAGGAAAATTTACCGCCAAGGTCGCCGCGTAGTGACAGCATCCCTAAGACTGCCCCTGCGATTCGGTGCGGAAGGTGCACCTCGATTTGGAGCTTCCGATGTGCCGGCTGGCTGGTTCTTGACGCTGTTGCTGCGCTTGGTGAAGAACGTACGTTTCTCCGTCGCCGTACCGGCAGCTGAGGCTGGACGCTGAGTAGCAGGCTCCGTCTTTGTTCTCACTACAGCGCTCGCCTGATGATTGTCCCGACTGCTTGGCGCACGAGTGGATCCGCTCATGATAGAGCTTCTTGTTGACGCGCGGTCAGTGTGGCTGGTGTTCGGCCTCGCAGAGGCGGTGTTGACATAGGCAGATGAAGGCGTCGAGGTGAGAGTTGGCAAAGGTGGCTTGTCGCTGCCTTTGCTGCCAGAGAGCCGGCGCAGAAGACTTGGTAGCTTCCTACTCAAGGTGCTAGCAGGAGATGGTGAAACTCGCGACCTGGGTGGAGACGCAATTGAGGAAGAGAGTCGTGAAGCTGTGCGAGCGCCTTCCGGAGACAGGGCACGACTGGACTGGTCATCAGCCTGCACGACTGTGCGATTGCCAGACGACCCAGAATGCTGCGACTGGGCAGAACGTGGACTCGTCACCGTCACAGTCTCCGCCGACGACCTGCCACCACTCCCTACCATCTTGCTAGTACTGCCACGCATGGATGGGCTGGTTTCTACACGGCTGAGTCGAGGCTTCGATGGGCTAGTGACTGGCTCCTCACTAGACCTGCGACGGCGAGATTGCGTTGCCACGCGCTGAGTTGGAGAGCGCTCGTTCATGTTGAACATCAGATCAGCTGGCGGCTGTCCATGCTGCTGAAACCTGCTAGGCGTGCCCAAGAGAAGTGACTTGCCATCTGGAAAGCCATCATAGTCCAGCCCAAAATCCTTGACAGTGTCGCTATCCACATCAGGTCCCGTGTACTCTTCATCGGAGCTGTCAATATCTTGCGAGCCATCAACATTGGTGCTGCGATAGTGCAAGTTGCTCGCAAACGCAGTCGTGAGTTCGACCGAAGATCTCATCTGCCTCGGAGCTGTTCTGACTCCAGGCTCAAGCGCATTGAAGCCCTTTACCACAGCCGGAGTAGTGTCCAAAAGGCTTTTGTCCTCAATAATGCTAGACCTTGATTCACGAAGCATGCGCGTGCTAGCACTGTCCGGCGTTGGCGGTAGCAGATCTCCAAAGATCGGACCTGCTATGCTTGTTGGGCGCTGCTGCTTCGAGCGAGCTAGGCGGCGCAATTGCGGCTGTTGCTTCAATTCGACAGCAGCACCAAGACCACCCTGACTAGCTGCCGACAGAGCATCATTCAGCGACTGGTAATGCACTTGCTGATCCTCGTGTCGAAGTGGCGGAGACATCCTACGACTCACGTCGGTCAGCGGCGAAGATATGTGGTTCGACTTTGATGGTGTTGATTCGGCTTCATCTCGCTCTTCAATCCATCGGCTCACCCGTTTGATGCTGTCCTGCCGGATGTGCGAATGTGATCCAATGGAAGCGGTGCGAGCATCGTCGTCCTCGCCCTCCCAGGCATAGCGATCGGGGCTCACGACCTCTTTGGGACTGTAGATAGATGGAAAGCTGCTTTCGCTCAGGACACTGAGTCGTGGAGAGTTCGGCACATCCTCACCGTCCTCCTCGGTCCGCGCCTCTTGACGGGAGAGTAGCGAGTGGAAGCTCTTAACTGGATGCAACGATCGCGAATTCTCCATGTAAACAGTCCTCAAAGCATTTGTGCTGGGCTTCTTGGAACTCAGAATCATCGGCTCTCTCCTAGACTTAGCCGGCGTCTGACCATTCACAAGTCCTTGCAATTTCTCCGATGCAGCAGCTGCTTGCTTGGTCGGCGCTTTGAGAGCAGCTGCGGAATTCGCGGCTCCCACCGAGGTACCTGGCGGTGATGATGGCGGGTCCTGGTCATGCGTCTCGGTGCCAGCATAACCAGAATCAGCGTTCGCAGTCGAAGGCCTCGTATGACTGTTGCGCTCTTCCATATCGTTCACCTGCTCCTCCAAATCGCAAATTATGTCCATTGCTTCTTCCACCGCTTTGTCGCGCTTCTCAAGTTCCTGCACCAGCTCAGAATTGATCCTCAGCAGCTCCTTGTGCTCTTCCTCCAGTACCAAAGCGCGCTCAATCTTGTCCTTCACAGAGTCTAGCTGTTGCTGTAGCTTGGTCGTTTGCTCTCTCCTGTGATCCAGCTCCAGCTTGAGTGCGAAGTTTGCCTTATTCAGGCGATCCAACTGGTCATCCATGTCCCTCACACCAGGTGCGCGACGTCGTCTGTCGCTGCTCTGGCCACCAGCGTCCGACGAACGCATGCTCGCGACCAGCGGTGAACTATCAGCCATTCTAGTATGTCGGCTGGTTTCAGCCTCATCCAGAAAGATATCGTCATCTCGACCACGTCTGAGCCCAATGTCGGTATGTCTCGCGCGTTTAGGCCGAATGTTTCTCGCCCTTCGTTCCTGCAGACGCTCCTGAAGCAACTGCGACGTGGGTAAGACAGTATGTCCGCGCTCCCCGAGCGGACTTCGCTCAATATCGTCTTCGTATGCCGACATGTTGGTGGAGCGACATTACATGCCAGACGAGCAGCACGTCAAGCAGGTGCAGTGCAGGCGGAGGGTACTCAGCGCAACATGGCGCCGCTCATGGAATCAATAGTAGCTGACGGTGACGAACTGGTCGATATGCGGTGATTGGCCGTGAAGGTGGTTGCGGTCACAGCTATGCGACCTTTGCATTCGGTGGTGATTGGTGAGTCGGGCTTCAGACGCTGTGCGATCTGTGGTCATGTCACGTCTCTGGGCTGGGTTGTTTCACTTCTTCCAAGTTGATGCTGCCCGCAGTGATGTCGACGTTGTGCAAGACGCGCTCCCATGCGCCTGTACGACGGTATGTGGTAGGATGTGGCAGTATCTGTCGATATTGGTGGTTGTGCGGAGGCCAACACAGGGAAGGTGGTAAGGAGAAGATCCGGTCCAACAACAAAGAACGTACAGCGCCTGCCAGGAGCACCACAACGTCGACCAATCAGGACGCTGTTTGGCGAGCCGCTAGTAGACGCTAGACTGCCCGAGCAACAGGGATCCTGGCGCTAGAGTCCAGTTCCCCGGTTCCGCTAGAGCTCCGCTCGTGGCTGCCGTTTGCCGAATGGTGACCAGCGGCCTGGAAAAACTCTCGCCTCATTTTGATCCCTGCTGTGACCTGTGCGCCAAGTCTCCAATCGATTTCTATTTTCTGCTTGTACGCGTCGCTGAGACCTCCTGTTCGATGCTCGGCACCGCACTTTCTTCAATTGCTTGCTTCTCAGCAAGATATCTGGACAATCTGGAATTGGGCATCGTAAAAAGGAGCAAGCAGCAATGCCAGTAGACGGCGTGCAGACCAGACCATGTACTGTTCCACACGTTTTCATCGCGCCGCAGAAGCGCGCATGAAACAACGCGGCTGTACACCTTATGCACGGTGATGAACATGGACCTGAAAAAGCCCCTCACTCATGCATCTCACGCCGAGCTTCGATTCTACAACAACTTCCATTTCTCGAAGTAGTGATATGCGCCTACAGAGTGTGTTGTGCATATGGGAAGCCGCTTTGTAGCGCTTCCTTCCCTTTTCCTTGAAGCAGGTCTTCTGCGATTTGCACACAAGTCTAGAATCTTAGGGACGGCGGGCACGGATCACTATCCAGTCTTGTCTCTGGTTCCTGTATCCGGGGTTGCGTCCAGAGATGTAAAAACCTTAGTAAACTAGTAAATAGTAATTACTATAGTAATAGTAAAATTACTATAGTAATCACTATTACTATCACTATTACTATTACTAGGGACCTTCGAGAAATAGTAATAGTAATAGTAATAGTAAAATAGTAATTACTATTCTACTATTATAGTAGTTTTTCTACCTATTCTAAGCTATAGAACTACTTAATAAGTATAGTATACTATAATATACTATAATATGCTATAATATAATTAAGGATAGTCTAATATTAATAGTAGAAATATATATTACTATAGTATATATATATAGTATAGTAGCGGCTACTACTAGTCGCTATAGTCGGTAATATATATATAATAGTATAGTAGCCGCTACTATTAGCCGCTATAGTTGCTATTATCTAGTAAGGGTAGGTATACTTATATAGACAGTCTTTCTAATAGCTAGATAGAGCCGTTATCTATTTTATACTATATAATCGTTACAATTCTATTATATTATAGCCGTATACTTAATATATGTTTTCTATATTTATACTAGCTATAGGATTACTTATATAGTACTCTAGACTATATAGATATTTACAGTATAATATAGGTATAAAAGATTAATAGTATCTACCTAAATAAAGAAACTACTATATTAAAAATAATATAATACCGGTATTCTTATAGAAAGTATCTAATAGACTATAATTACTTAAGGTTTCTTTCTAATATAGTTATACTAGTACTATAATCAAAGTCTAGATTATAATAGAATTCAAAGCGATTTATATAAAGAAAACCCTTTAATACCCTTTACTCCTACTACTATATATAATACTATTATACCTAGATAGCTAAGACTAGGCTAGTTAGTTTAGTCTAAGTCTATCTCTCTATCGGCTATCTCCTCTAAGTCCTTATTATCTTCCTTACTACTATCTATCTCGATACTATTTCTAGTACTAAGAATCTCTTCTATAGTACTATAGCTTAGAGATTTAATCTCCTCCTTTAAGGCCGCCGTACTTAAATAGGCCTCTATAAGAATCTTTTCCTCCTCTTTATACTCTAAATTAAAGAAGTTAAGCCTACTAAGAAAGTAGATATCGTCGTAGATATCCGTATAGAGATAGGTATCTCTAGCCGACTCGATACTAGTACTAATAGTAGTATAGCCCTCGGGGGATACTATACTACTATCTAGAAATAGTCGAATAAAAGCTATAATATCTATTAGTATAGAGATATTACTAGATCTTAAGGCTAGTATATAATACTTACTATAGTCTTAAAAGTATAGCGAGTATCTTAGAATATAGAGCGTAAGGTATTCAATTCTAGAAACGATATTATTATCGTTTAAAGAGTCGATATAAGCTCGAATATCTAGCCGAGAATTAAACTCGTCTAAATTATCGATAGAGAATACAAAAGCTAAAAACTATTAGTATAATACGTCAGGTTAATATATTAGGATATAATACCTTTAATCCTCTTATATTCCTTAATATAGTACTGCTTAATCCGGTTAATAAAGTAGGTAATACGAAGTCGATTCAGATATTCGACTCGGACGATTTCTTTATTTCCTTTAGCTCTATTACTTAGCAAGCTATTAATAACAGCCTTAATAGTTTTGTCTATGCGGCTAGACGCTACTATAGAACTCTTATTAATAAACTCATTAATAAAAGTAATAGAGGTTAATAAGGTATCGTTGAAGGTGTGTATTCTAATAATAATAAAATTAGTATATTACTAGGTAAGAAGTTTCTTTTATATTAGTAGACTTACTTCGTATTATAGTAGTAGTCTACTATTGAATAGACGTCTTATAAGAGTATAGCATAGTAGAGAGTAGCGTAGTTAGTTATAGTCTCGTATACTAAAGTAGTATAGAAAGAAGAAAGATCTTTAGAAAGGAAAGGACGAAGTATATATATTACTCTCTCCTTTTTACTAAGGTTTATATACAATAGTTTAACTATATTTAGTTACTAAATTATAATAATATATTTAAATAAATTTATTTATTTATAATAGTATATTAAAATAATATTATAAATTAATATATTTATTCTAAGATAAATTAGATAATATATTATTCTATTATTCTAAGATACTATTATAAACAAGTAAATAAATTCAAATATACTATTATATCATTATTACTATATATAGTTATACTATTGTATATAAACCTTAATTCAAGTAGAGAGAGCAATATATATATATATGGCTTCGCTCTCCCTAAGTTTAGTTTCTTTCTCTATAGTTC